ACATCGATTCCATTATCGACAGCGCCTACCGCATCCCCAATCTCGACGTCGCCCAGCTCGAGCACCACAAGCTCAATACCGTCAGGAGGCGCCTCAAGTTTACCAAGCGACGTGATTTCTTTCGAACCTTCTGGAATACCACCGAGTTTAGTACCAAGTGCGTTGCCGTCTGAAGAGTTTTCCCTAGAGCCAAGTTCTGAGCTTTCCCWAGGGCTGCCAAGTTTTGCACCGTCCCAAACCCTAATCTCGACATCGCCTACCTCTGCCCCGTCCCAAACCCTAATCTCGACATCGCCTACCTCAAGCCCGGTCTCCACAGAACCGCCTACATTGCTTTCAACTCCACCACCTACATTGCCTCCTATCGCACCTGCACCTATCGCACCTGCACCTATCGCACCTGCACCTACATTTCCTCCTATCGCACCTTCTGGAACACCGACTTCACTACCAAGCGAATTTCCCTCGTTGGTCCCGTCAAGAGAAGCTTCGTTTTTACCAAGCGAAGTGATTTCTTTTGAACCTTCTGGAACACCGACTTCACTACCAAGCACGGTGCCTACTAACGAGCTTTTCGTGGAGCCAAGTTTTGCACCGTCTGAGGGTCCTAGTCCAGCTCCATCCGCAATTCCATCTGGAGTGTTGCCTTGAATTGAATTACTTCGTACTGTAGTTCGGAACTGTTTGGATATGTTTTTTGGTTGGACGAAATACGAGGAAGGTACTATGGGGTTGCAGTAGATAAACGTGTACTGTACAATCACAGGGGTCATAATTTAGAGGGGTGCACAACGCCTTCAAAGACGCGCAGATCCCAACCCCAACCCTAGTATTCCATGTTAGGATTTTTTTAAATTCATTTTTACTAAATAATACTTCGTACTACTTTACGGTACGTACGATACGGAAGCGGTATGGTTGGATATACCCTTCCTACGTTTGTTCAAGGGCAATTAGGAATTAAAAGATTAACAGATTAATTCTTCGTAACAAATAATTCATTCCGTGTGAGCATGGCCGATATAAGGGACGCTGATAAAATCGTTTGTTTAAGGGAAATTCGGAAACAACAGATTACATTAGTTCTTCGCAGCTGC